AAAGATTTATTTATTTGAAAGGCAGAGTTACAGAGAAAGAGAGGCAGAGAGCGAGAGCGAGAGTGAGAGAGAGAGAGAGAGAGAGAGAAGTCTTCCATCTGCTGATTCATTCCCCAGATGGCTACAATGGCTGGAACTGCAACGATCTGAAGCCAGGGGCGGGGACCTTCCTCTGGGTCTCCCACGTGGGTGCAGGGGCCCAAGAACTTGAGCCATCTTCTACTGCTTTCCAGGCCATAGCAGAGAGCTGGATTGCAAGAGGAGCAGCCAGGACATGAACCGGCGTCCATATGGGATGCCGGCACTGCATGTGGACGCTTATGCCACTACACCACAGCGCCAGCCCTCCATTCCTCCTTATGACTGAATAGTATTCCACTGTATGGATGTACCACCACTTATTTGCCCATTCATTCATGGGTGGGCATTTGGGTTGTTTCTGCTTTTTGGGATATTATGAATTTGCACAAATTTTTGTGTGATTGTATATGGTCATTGATTTTCTTTTTTTTAAAGATTATTTATTTATTTGAGAGGTAGAGTTACAGACAGTGAGAGGGAGAGAAAGGTCTTCCTTCCATTGGTTCACTCCCCAGATGGCCGTAGCAGCTGAAGCTGCACTGACCCGAAGCCAGGAGCCAGGTGCTTCTTCCTGGTCTCCCATGTGGGTATAGGGGCCCAAGCACTTGGGCCATCCTCCACTGCCTTCCTGGGCCACAGCAGAAAGCTGGATTGGAAGAGGGGCAGCTGGGACTGGAACCAGCACTCACATGGGATGCCAGCACCGCAGGCAGAGGATTAACCTGCTCCATGGTGCTGGCCCCTGGTCAATTGATTTTCAATAAAAATACTGGGGTGGGCATTGTAGTACAATGGGTAGAAGCAGCTGCTTGAGGAGCCAGTGCTATGGTGTAGGTTAAGCCACCACCTGCAATGCTGTAATCCCACATAGGCGCACTCCTAGCTTCTTCCCTTCTAGTCCAGCTCCCTGCTAATGTGCCTGAGAAGGCAGCAGAAGATGGCCCAAGTGCTTGGATCCCTGCACCCATGTGGGAGAGGAGATCTCGAATAAGTTCCCGGCTCTTGGCTTCAGCCTGGCCCAACCCTGGCCATTCTGGCCATTTGGGGAATGAGAGAATGAACCAGCAAATGGAAAATCTCTGCTTCTCCTTCTCTCTATGACTCTGCCTTTCAAATAAACTTTTTTTTTTTTTTTTAAAGGATCATCTGCTGGAATGCAGATCCTAGTACCTGGGATTGAGCCCTGCTACTCTGCTTCCAATCAGCTTCCTGCTAATGTAAACCCTGAGAAGCAACAGATGATGGTTCAAGTCCTTGGGTACTTGACACATGGGTGGGAGACCCTTTGGAGTTACTGGCTTTTAGCTTCAGCCTGGTCCTGTTGTTGCAATTTGGGGAGTGAAACCATGAATAGAAGATCTCTCTCTCTCTGCCTCTGAAATAAAAAAAAAATTAATTAAAAAAAAGAGACACCAAGGTAATTCAATGAAAGGTACAGTCTTTTTAACAAATGGTGCTATTGAAAAACAGATAATCACGTGGGCAAAAATATAGATATCCATATAGAAAATAAATGAACCCTGACCCTGATATAATATCATACAGATAATTAATTTAAAGTCGATCATAGTGGGCCAGCATTGTGGTATAGCACGCTAAGCCACTGCCTATTTAGAGCACCAGTTCTAATCCCAGCTGCTTCTGATACGGCTCTGTGATAATGCACTTGGAATGCATCAGAAGATGGTCCAAGTACTTGGGCCCTGCAGTCCATATGAGAGGCCTGGATGGACTTCCTGGCCCCTGTTTTCGGCCTGTTCCAGCCCCAGCTGTTATGGCCATTTGGGCATGGAAGGTCTTTCTCTCTCTCCCTCTGTCTTTCAAATACATATTATAAATATTTAAATAAAATAAAATAAAATAAAAATAAAAAGACAATAGATCTAATGTAAAAGCTAAAAATTAAAACTATGAATACTAGAAGAAAATATAGAAGAATATCTTAGTGTCTTTTTTTTTTAAGGCTGATTTATTTATTTAATAGGCAGTTACAAAAGAGAGAGAGAGAGAGATCAAGAGAGATCAAGAGAGAGATCTTCCATCCACTGGTTCACTCCTCAAAGTGCATAACAGCTGGGGCTGGGACAGGCTGAAGCAAGGAGCCAGGAAATCTATCTATGTCTCCCACGTGGGTGGCAGGGACCCAAGCACTTGGGCCATCTTCTGCTTTCCCAGGAGCATTAGCAGGGAGCTGGATTGGCAGTGGAATAGTTGGGACTTGGCTCTTGAATTGGTGTTTGCATGGAATGATAGCATTGCAGGCAGCTGATTAACCCACTGCTCCATAATGCCAGCTCCTGTATGTACACATTTTTCAAAACTCATAAATTTCCAGGCACAGGACACTGACCTAAACTGAGTTAGTTTATAGTTAGTTAGTTTTATAGTCGATTATCTTTGACCTCTTTTACAATGTCCTGCTAGTCAATAGATTTCATTGCTCCAAGTTTTCTTAAACAAAACAGAAGATAGAGTGCTCAGTAGGGATTCCAGTGGAGTAAAACCCCGAGTTACACACCACCTTAACTACCGCAAGTGCACCTCCTGTGAATGGCTCTCTCAGCTTCCTATCACTGTGCAACATAGTACACCAAGCTGAATGGTATGAAACAATGGGTCTTACAGTTTTGGAAGTCATAAGTACAAAGTGGGCCTCACTGATCTAAAATCAAAGTGTCACTGGGGACCATTCCCTCTGGATTCCCTAGGGAATAGCCCGTGTCCTTACCTCTGCCAGCTTTGAGAAGGCCGTTCTCATTTCCTGAGTTATGGCCCCTCTGAGCCAACGACCACATTGTGTAACACCGTCTTCACATTTTCTTCTGGCTCTGAGCCTCTCAGCTCCCTCCCATAAGCACTTTGTGAGTAGACTGTCCCCATCTGGATAAGCCAGAGTAACCTCTCATTTCAAGATCTGTTGCTTCATTGAATCTACTAAAGCCCTTTTGTCATGTCAGGTAACATTCACATGGATTTCATAGATTAGGACATGGCTATTTTGGGGGCCATTAACCTACCTTTATGGTTATAGCTTGGATATTAGTTTGGATGTTGGAGGTACCCCCCCCCCATACCAAGGTTCACGTATTAAAGGCTTGATCCCCAGAGTCTCATGTTAATGGTACTAAGAGGGTGGGAACTGAATCCAGTTTTAGTGTCTGGAGGGGGCACCTTTGGGAAGTGATTAGATTGGATTGGCTCATTAGGATGAAGCCCTGGTGATTAGATCTTGACAGCTTTATAAGAGATCAGATAGACATAAGCACACACATGTTCCCTCTTGCAATGCCCTCAGGATTCTGCCCATGAGAACACCATCCCCAGAGGCCGAACCAATACAGTCCGTCCAGTCTTGGACTGTGAACCTCCAGAACCATGAGCCCAAAACAAAACACCTCTCTCCTTTATTAAATAGGATACCTTAGATAATAGAAAATAACTTGTGGGAACTGAAATGTAAAGACTGGGGTTATAAAGCCCAAACCTGCTCATTGCTGTTTCTGCTTTTGTATTCTGGCTTGCTTACTTGCCCATTGTAATGCCACGACAGGCTCCAAGTCAGGTAGAAGAGGAACAGGCCGAGTTCCCGGAAGCGAGAAATGGCAAAAAATTCCAGGGATTGCGGAATTGCAGACCACAATTGCAAACCTCAGCTTTCTCTTTTTCTTCACTTCCTCCTTTGAGACTTCTCACTTTGTGATGTCAAAGCCCTTTACATTTAACAGCACCAATGAAATGCTTAGGTTTGTAAAAGCTGCCGTATAGAGAATAAGGAAGAAGCCTACGCATGCACTTGTTTGTGAAAGAGTATAAAAACTACAGGAAAATAAGGGAAGGGGCCTTCCATCCATTCTCTGTGGTGTGTGGATAGTAGGTACCAGCCAGCTGGAATGAATAATCCTCTGCTTTTGCATCCGTAACTGTGAGTTGTGTATTGATTGGGAAAAATTGGGGCACCACAACTAATACCTTTATTCCAGCACTATTCTGTACTTGGCTTACTTGGAAAACTTTGGTCTCTGAAGGATCTTTGTTTATGATGCTGGATTTTTGCTTTTTGTTGAAAACACTCCTCTGTCTGTCCACATACCTGCTTTATCTTGTGGTGGCCCCTGCTTATCTTTCATAACTAAGTCAAGTCTACATTTATGGTTTATGAGGCCTTGAGATTCAAAGTTCTGTGGCTCTAGATTTGAGACCCTAGAGGGAGACTTAGGTCTTTAAGACAGTGAACTCAGATCTGGAGTGGGTGCCGAGACTCAGGAATTTGTAACTTGAACTTGACCCAGGGTTTGGGCAACAGAGGGCAATGACAGGAGAGAAGTAGAGCATTCACTTTTTCAAGGGGGATAAAAAGGCAGAAGTGGACTTGGCCATATCCTTAACCTGAGCTTCAAGGAGGAAGAGAGAGCACCAAAAACCTGACTCATAGGTCAAGGTCCTTCTGATTTAGCATCTAATAATGCCCCTCCCCTTTCCAACATGGGATTTGGGGGCAAAGAGCAGAATGAGAGGAAGTGAGTACTACGAAGTGTTCTCACCAGGTAACGGTGAGAACTTACAGGTTAATTATCTCTTACTTTTGTTCTTCCTCACTTCTTCCCATTAAAGAATGATGGGTCAGTCTTGCCTTCATTGTAACTTAAAGGAAAAAAGAAATATTGTCAAAGGGGTTTGGAACTTGGTAGTCCCAGGGATCTACTCTACAGGGTTATTATTATTGATATCATCAACTTTCTTATCACGGAAGATGCAAATCCCCACACTTCCTTCTAATCTGCTACCTGTTTGTACAGGTTAGGTACCCAGTTATTGCCCGAAACTCAGGTGTGAGTCTTCCTCATTCCACACCCTCACGAAGCAGGTGGTGATGGGCACACCCAAAGATACAAAGTCCAGGCACCTTGCAGGGAGGTGCCATGAGCTCCACAACTCCAGAGGAAGGAGTCCAGAGTCAGACACCATGGCTTCCGAGAAAGGTAAAATGTATCTGGGGCCTGGCAAACTCTGTATTCTAGAACAGTATGACAATTGCATGTGTGTGTGCTCTGCTTCTGCTTGGGTCCTTGGGCATTTTCCAACTTTCCTATCATTAATCAATATTAATTATAATATAATTAAACAAAATCCATGCTCCCAAACAATGTTGATTAAATCAGTGCTTTTAATGAAAAGAATAAACAAAAATATAACAGTTTAAATAGCAGTTAAAGGGGCTGGCATTATGTTGTAGCAGATGAAGCTGCTGCCTGCAGTGCTGGTGTCCCAAATGGGTGCCAGTTTGAGTCCCGGCTGCTCCACTTCTGATCCAGCTTCCTGCTAATGTAACTGGGAAAGCAGTAGAAGATGGCTCAAGTCCTTGGAGCCCTGCACCCTCGTGGGAGACCCAGAAGAAGCTCCTGGCTTCAGATTTGGGAATAGCAGGAGCCTGGAGTCCAGGATATGTATGAGTAAACTACCACAGATCACAGGGATATCAAAGAGTGTTGGGGCAAAAGGAAGACTTTTAAAGACACAGAGAAAGGCAATCATTGTGGTGCAGTGGTTAAGCCCCTGCTTGGGACTCCCACATCACACACGGCCCTGGATTCCAGTCCTTCTACTGCTTCCTTTCCAGCTTCCTGCCACTGTGCACCTGGGAACAGCAGGTGATGGCTCAAGTTTCCCGGGTTCCTGCCACCCAAGTGTGGGATTTGGATGGAGTTCCTGGCTTTTAGATCCTAACTTAGCCCCAGATGTTGTGGGCATGTGGGGAACGAAGCAGAAGCTGGAGGATCTCTCTGCTTCTGTCTCTTTCTGTGTTGCTCTTTCAAGAAAACAAAAGCACAAAGAAGTCCACCTACACTGTTTGATAGCAAAAACCGCTGGTTACAGGGGCCGGCTGTGGGAGTTGAGGGCAGCTTGTTGGAGGAGATGGCCATCGCCAGTCAAGTGTCCACGTGAATTCCTATGATGTTACAGGCCCCGTTATGGGTGTACATGCAGAGCTAAAGCCTGAATGAGGAGGCACAAGGAAGAGCAGTCCAAGAAGAAGAAATTGTACAAGTCCTAAAGCCTGGGTGAGCTTGGCAGGTCTGAGAGACAGGAGGAAGATAAGGTGGCTGAGGGGATGTGGAGGGAGCTGGACACGAATTGATCATGCCGGGCTTGTAGGTCATGGAAAGGAATCTGGATTTTCTAAAAATTATTTACTTTTTTTTTTTTTTTTTAATTTGGGAGTTGTGCCGATCTGAAGCCAGGAGCCAGGAGCTAGGAGCTTCTTCCAGGTTTCTCACATGGGTGCAGGGACCAAAGGACTTGGGCCATCTTCTACTGCTTTCTCAGGCCATTGTAGAGAGCTGGATGGGAAATGGAGCAGCCGGGACTCGAAGTGGCGCCCATATGGGATGCTGGCACTGCAGGAGGTGGCTTTACCCACTATGCCACAGCACCGGCCCCTGTGCTTTCTTTTTAAGAAAGACTTATTCTTCATGTTACACTTAGGATAATGTTTCTTGCTTTTTTCTTTTAAAGAAAGATTTATTTATTTGAAACGCAGAGTTACAGAGATGGAGAGAGAGACAGAGACAGAGACAAATAGACAGAATCCACTGGTTCACTCCCCAAATGGACACAATAGCTGGAGCTGGGCCAGGCCAAAACCAAGAGCCAGGAGCTTCTTCCAGGTCTCCCCATAGGTGCAGGGGCCCAAGTACTTGGGCCATCCTCTGCTGCTTTCCCAGATTCATTAGCAGGGAGCTGGACTGGGAGTGGCCAGGACTTGAACTGGTGCCCATATAGGACACTGGTACTGTAGGCAGCAGCTTAACCCATTGGGCAACAGTGCCAGCCCCACAAATTTTTTGATCTTATACCCACATGTAAATATATGGGCTGGCTTATTCCATTAGTTTTGTTATTTCTGAGTTAGGTGATGAAATATTTTTAGTGATTAATTGGGTTGTGAAGTAAATAATGATACTACTGATGTTGGGTTCCATCCTAAAGCCTAAGGCAGAATCAAAAAAGAGAGAAAGGTTAATTAAACCAGAAAAATAGAGCAGAGAGAGTGCCATTTAGCCTAGTGGTTAAAGCACTGGTTAAAATGCATGCCTTTCACATCAGAATACTTAAGTTCCATCCCCAAGTAGCTGGGTCTGTGCTACCCACACGGGAGATCTGGATTGTGTTCCTGGCTCCTGGGCTTGGCCTGGCATGGTCTTAGCTGTTGCAGACACTTGGAGGAATGAACTGGAGTTGGAATCTCTTTCAAATAAACAATGAACTTTAGGAGTGAGCATTCGGTACAGTGGTTAGATAGCTGCTTCAGATGCCTGTAGCCCGTATCACAAGTGGCTACCATGCCTGTGGTCCAGCTTCCCACTACTAGCACCTTGGACGCAGCAGGTGATGGCTCAAGTACTTGGGTCCCAGATGGGACCCAGATGGAGTTCAGTTTCCTGGTTTCAGCCTGGCCCAGCCTGGGCTGTTGAGGGCAGTTGGGGAGTGAATCAGTGATTTCCATCTGCCTCTCTGTCTCTCTTTCAAATATAAATGAAAATAAATTATTTTTTTTTAATTTAAGAGAAATAGAGGTGACAGAAAAGTGTTTATAGTGGGCAGTGGTGAAACTCATCCACCCTTTATTCATAAATGAATGCTGCTCACGGGTTGCAGGCAGTGTGGCAGGGTGGGGAAGGGCATCTCACGTGACTTACCCCTCAGTGTTGTAACAAGCATATATAAATAATATATAACCATTATGTGTCACTATGATAACTGCCATGACGAAGTACACGTGTGAATGAAGCCATATGGAAGCTATCTATAGCCAGGAGGAATGAGTGTTTGGCCTATTGGTTAAGCCACGGCTGAGACACCCTTACCCATTTTGAATGCATTGGTTCAAGTCTTGGCTTCAGCTGTGGATTACCCGCTTCCTGCTAATGTGCATCTTGGGACAGCAGTTGGGTCTCTACCACCCCTGTGAGAGATGTCCTGACTCCCAGCTTTAGCCTGGCCCGGCCCCAGCTGCCTCAGGCAATTGGGGAGTGAACCAGTGCATGTGTTCCCTCTTACTCTCTTTCTCCCTCTCTCTGTCAAATAAATAAAATAAATAAATAGAAAGTGAGGTCAAGGGGAGGGATTGGTATTGTGGTGTGGTTGGTTAGGGTGCTGTCTGAGATGCCAGCATCCCATATGGGTACTGGTTTTAGTCCTGGCTGCTCTGCTTCTGATCCAGCTCCCTGCTAATGCACCTGGGAAAGCAGCAGAAGATGGCTCAACAACTTGAGCCCCAGAACCTGTGTAGGACACCAAGATGAGGCTTTTTTTTTTTTTTTTAAAGATTCATTTATTTTATTTGAAAGTCAGAGTTACACAGAGAGCCAGGAGCCAGGATCTTCTTCCTGGTCTCCCATGTGGGCCATCTTCTACTGCTTTCCCAGGCCACAGCAGGGAGCTAGATAGGAAGTGGAGCAGCCAGGACTTGAACCGGCGCCCATATGGGATGCCGGCACTTCAGGCCAGGGCGTTAACCCGCTGTGCCACAGCACCAGCCCCCAAGATGAGGCTTCTAAGTCCTGGCTTTAGCCTGGCCTGCCCCTGGCCACTGTGGCCATCTGGAGAGTGAACCAGCAGATGGAGGCTCTCTGCCTCTCCTTCTTTGTAATTCTTTCAAATAAATAAATATATCTTTTCATTTTTTATAAACTTGGCCCAATGTTTTTAAAAAATTGGAGGAAAAAAGAAGTTATACCCAGGATCCCTGAGAAGGGACTTTTGCACTGCACTTAATCATTTTTGTTGGAATCTTAAGAAGGATTTTCTGGTTTGGAATGGGACACCTGAACAAATAGGCTTTAGCATAGCTTTTTGTTGTTGCAATGAGCTGATCAAACACAATTAATCCATGAGAAAATCTTCTAATTCCATTTTCTGTTGTAATTGGGAGGTTTGTAGACATAGAACACATTTTCATTTTTATTTTTTTAGAAGATTTATTTATTTGAAAGGCAGAGTTACAGAGAGGCAGAGGCAGAGGCAGAGAGAGAGGTCTTCCATCTGCTGGTTCAGTCCCCAAATGGCCACAATGGCCAAGGCTGGGCCAGGCTGAAGCTAGGAACCAGGAGCTTCATCTGGGTCTCCCATGTGGGTGCAGGGCCCCAAGGACTTGGGCCATCTTGTGCTGCTTTCTCAGGCCCATTAGCAGGGAGCCGGTTTGGAAGTGGAGCAGCTGGGACTCAAAGCAGCACCCATATGGGATGCTGGCATTGCAGACAGCAGATTAACCTGTTATGCTATGATGCTAGCCCCCCGGAGTACTTTTCTTAGGAAATGAATTTGTATTTGGGTGTTATTTGACATAATCATGTTTTTGTCAACAGGTCCTTCAAACAAGGATTACACGTTGAGGTAAGAATAACACTCTCGTGCTCACTTAATTCAATCTGGAATAAATGGGTATTTAAGAGCTGTAGGACAGCAGCCTTTTGTATTACTCCATTTTTCTTTTTTTATCTTCTAATTCTTTCTTATTTTTGTCTTTTCCAATTTTGTTTTCTCTTATTGTTTCCTATGTATTTGCTTCTATATCTTTTGGTTAAGCATTAAATTGCATTCTACCTTGCTTCTCAATTATTGTCTTACTATTCCTCTTCTCTTTTTAAATCACATATTTACATAGCTTTTGGTGAAACGTCCAGGGAAGTATTTTGTCTCTCTGATTTCATATTATCTGCCCATTTCCCAGGCTGCCTGTCACAGGGAAATCGTGTGAAGGAGTAAGTTATCCCGTGATGGGTGGCAGGGCTGATCTATGTCATAATAGAATGTGATCCTCATGAGCATGAGTGGGGACACGTGGTATATAGTAAGCTTATGCCTCCGCCATATTGTAAAGAAAATTCCTCAGCACCATCTGAGTTTCCCCTAAGTCACAGCTTTCAGACTTGCAGCATTAAGTATAAGGATGCCATTGAGAACAATTTGAGCTGCTTTCATGCAACCACTTAGTATACAGGATTCTAAAATGGAAGACTCTGGAGACTAAATTACTCATTTTCTCAGTTATTTGTGTATTTATTTATTTATGAGACAGAGGAACAGGGAGAGCTCCCCTCTGCTGGTTCACTCCTCAGATGCCCACAATAGCTGGAGTTGGGTCTGGCCAGAGCCAGGAGCCAGGAACTCAATCCAGGTCTTATATGTGGGTGGCAGCCAGAAGCCAGGAGCTTCTGCTGGGCCTCCCACATGGGTACAGGGGCCAAAGCTCCTGGGCCATCTTCTGCTGCTTTCCCAGACCATTAGCAGGGAGCTGAATCAGAAGTGGAGCAACTGAGTCTCAAACCGGCACTTACACAAGATGCCGGCATCACAGGTTAACCTACTATGCCACAACACTGGTCCCCAGAATGTTGACATTTTAAGCGCTAGACCAGTTGCCTGCCTTGCTTTTCTCAGACTTGACTACAGAAGCTTGTAGCAACTTTAAGCTTCAGCATTTGAGAAAAACTAGTGCAATCCACTGCAGAATCGTGAGGATAAGGATTAGGACACAGAACCTCTAAGGTGAGAGAGAAAGGTTAGAACACAAGGAGAAGGCTTTAAAAGAGAAAGAAGGAAGCACTTAGACCTGGATTTAAGACAGAAGCACAATGGTATTGGAGAGCAGTCACCAAAGAACGTGACCTGGGAAGAAAACCTTTTCACTAAGTTTGTGAGAGAAGCTGCTAATTCAGGTAGACCTCCCTAGGTAACTTGGAGACACAGAATGGGAAGAAAGTCACCATGCGTCACTTCTGCCTAAGAGCAGAGGGGACCGTGGAATGATTTCTGAGATCACTCTAAAGATTGCATCACCACTCGGAGATGCTCCTTGTGTTCCAGGAGAAGAATTGAACCCTGGGAATTTGAAGTCTTCTTTGACCCCCAAGAACTGCGTAAAGAGGCCTGCCTGCTCTACGAAATCAAGTGGGGGGCAAGCTCCAAGACCTGGCGCAGCTCGGGCAAGAACACCACCAATCACGTGGAAGTCAACTTCCTAGAAAAGCTGACTTCAGAGGGGCGGCTTGGCCCATCCACCTGCTGCTCCATCACCTGGTTCTTGTCTTGGAGCCCCTGCTGGGAATGTTCCATGGCGATTAGAGAATTTTTGAGTCAACACCCGGGTGTGACTCTGATAATTTTTGTAGCTCGGCTATTTCAGCACATGGATCGCCGGAACCGGCAAGGGCTCAAGGACCTCGTTACCAGCGGCGTAACTGTCCGGGTTATGAGCGTCTCAGGTAAAGACAACAGTGGGCTCATGGTCTGCGTGCTGCTAGATCAAAAGCCTGGTTATTCTGGACTGGAAATCTCAGAAATGAAAGCTCCAAAATAATGAATTCATGGCAAGGAAAGTACCAGAAATGCAACCTCTTTCTCCACTCTTTTTTTTAAATATTTATTTATTTATTTATTCAAAAGGCAGAGTTACGGAGAGGCAAAGGCAGAGACACAGAGAAAGAGAGAGATCTTCCATCCAGTGTTTCACCCTCCAAATGGCTGCAATAGTCAGAGCTAGGCCAGGCTGAAGACAGGAGCCAGGAGCTTCTTCTGGGTCTCTCACTTTGGTACGGGGCCCAAGCATCTGGGCCATTTCCGCTGCCTTCCCTGGCACATCAGCAGGGAGCTGGATTAGAAGTAGAGCAGCTGGGACTCAAACCCGTGTCCATATGAGATGCCGACAACAAAGGTGGCAACTTAACCCATTAAACCCTCACTTTAAAAAAAAAAGTGGGGCCAATGCTGTGGTATATCGGGTAAAGCTGCCACCTGCAGTGCCAGTGACCCATATGGGTGCCAGTTTGAGTCCTGGCTGTTCCACTTCTGATCCAGCTCTCTGCTATGGCCTGAGGAAGCAGTAGAAGATGGCCCAAGACCTTTGGCCCCTGCACCTGCATGAGTGACCCAGATGAAACTCCTGGCTCCTGTCTCCTGGCTTCTGAATGGTGCAGCTCTGGCCATTGTGGTCAGTTGGCAAGTTAACCTGCAGATGGAAGACCTCTCTCTGTCTGCCTCTCTGTGTAACTCTGCCTTTCAAATAAATAAATAAATACATATTTAAAAATTTTATTTTATTATTTCTATTTATTTGGAAGGCAGAGTGACAGAGAAAGAGGAGACACACACACACACACACAGATAGAAAGAGAGAAAGATCTATCTACAGGTTCATTCTCCAAATGGCTACAGTAGCCAGGTGTAGGCTAAGTTGAATCCAGGAGCCAGGAGCTCCATCTGAGTCTCCCATTAGGTGGCAGGGGCCCAGGTACATGGGTCATCATCTGCTGCTTTCTCAGTGTGCATTAGGAGGGAGTTGGATTAATGGAGCAGCTGGGACTTGATCCAAGGCTCATATGCGATGCTGGCATTGCAGGCGGTGTCTTAACTTGCTGTACCACAATGCTGGTGCCTTCTTCCTTCTTTTCCATTCTTATCACTAGGGCTCTCAGCTCTCTTCACAGGGACTTCTTTGATCTTTTTAGGGAGTCTAGCCCATATTCAACAGCAAATAGGCTAGAAACATATAACACAAGAGAAGTATGGCTTCTCTGCTTCCAATCTAGCTAGCTTCTTGCTAATGCATCCTGGGAGGCAGAAGAGAATGGCTCAAATACTTGGGTTCTTTTCACTCCCTTGGGAGACCTGGATGGAGTTCCAGGTTCCTGGCTTTGGCCTGGTCCAACCATGACCATTGTGGGCATTTGTGGGGTGAACCAGGAGGTGGAAGATATCTGTCTGTCCATCTGTCTCTCTGTTGCTCTGCCTTTCAAGTAGATGGGGAAAAAAAAACTTAAAAAAAAAGTTTGTGGAAAATGGAATTAAAAGAAAAGTTTCCTTTTTTTTTTTTTTTTGACAGGCAGAGTGGACAGTGAGAGAGAGAGACAGAGAGAAAGATCTTCCTTTGCCGTTGGTTCACCCTCCAATGGCCTCCAAGGCCGGTGCGCTGCGGCCGGCGCACCGCGCTGATCCGATGGCAGGAGCCAGGTGCTTCTCCTGGTCTCCCATGGGGTGCAGGGCCCAAGCGCTTGGGCCATCCTCCACTGCACTCCCTGGCCACAGCAGAGAGCTGGCCTGGAAGAATGGCAACGGGGACAGAATCCGGCGCCCCGACCGGGACTAGAACCTGGTGTGCCGGCGCCACTAGGCGGAGGATTAGCCTATTGAGCCGCAGCGCCCGCAAAAGAAAAGTTTATTTTCATGTAAAAAAATAGAATCTATGCATATTTTTTTCCTAAGACATTTTCCATTAAGATCCTAGGTGATGTTTGTGCATAGAATTCAAAAATTTTTATTTATTATTTCAAAATAAGCTTATCTTTTAATTTCATTTTCCATGAACCTTTTGACATACCCTGGTATTTTTTTTTAAATTATTTGACAGGTAGAGTTAGTGAGAGAGAGAGAACAGAGAGAAAGGTCTTCCCTCCGTTGGTTCACTCCCCAAATGGCCGACACAGCCAGCGCTGTGCCGATCCAAAGCCAGGAGCCCAGTGTCCCTTTCTGGTCTCCCTCCACTGCCCTCCCAGGCTACAGCAGAGAGCTGGACTGGAAGAGGAGCAACTGGGACTCCCCAGATGGCCCGAGCAAGGGCTGGGGCTGGGCTAATCCGAAGTCAGGAACCAGGAGCTTCTTCTAGGTCTCCCACGTAGGTGCAGGGGCCCAAGGGCTTGGGCCATCTTCCATTGCTTTCCCAGGCCATTAGCAGGGAGCTGGATCAGAAGTGGAGTAGCTGGGGCTCAAACCGGCGCCCACATGGGATGCCAGCACTGCAGGCAGATGCTTAACCTACTATGCCACAGTGCTGGCCTCAATATCCTGGTACTTTTAAGTTGGGCTCTCTTTGAATAATTTATCATTGTTCTTGTTGAATGAACCAAGATTTGTGTTTCCTTAGAGTATTGTTACTGCTGGGAGAATTTTGTCAACTACCCGCCGGGGAAAGCAGCTCAATGGCCAAGGTACCCACCTCGGTGGATGCTGATGTATGCACTGGAACTCTACTGCATCATTCTAGTAAGTTCCTTTTAGAAGACAAAGATTCTGATGCAAAATGAAGCATTTCTTGTCAGACTTATTTCCTGAGATTTTTTTTTTTTTTTTTTTTTTTTTGACAGGCAGAGTGGACAGTGAGAGAGAGAGACAGAGAGAAAGGTCTTCCTTTTGCCGTTGGTTCACCCTCCAATGGCCGCCGCGGCTGGCGCGCTGCGGCCGGCGCACCGCGCTGATCCGATGGCAGGAGCCAGGAGCCAGGTGCTTTTCCTGGTCTCCCATGGGGTGCAGGGCCCAAGCACCTGGGCCATCCTCCACTGCACTCCCTGGCCACAGCAGAGGGCTGGCCTGGAAGAGGGGCAACCGGGACAGAATCCGGCGCCCCGACAGGGACTAGAACCCGGTGTGCCGGCGCCGCTAGGCGGAGGATTAGCCTAGTGAGCCGCGGCGCCGGCTTATTTCCTGAGATTTTTAACACATACTCTCCTTGCCATCTCTGCCATTTATATTGAGATTTAGTTACTTAACTGGCTGACCCATCTTAAGAAAATATGAGAGTAATAGGCCAGTAAGTGGGAGAAGGGGAGAGTAAACTGGTCTAAGACACATTTGGGCCCCATAATTCTACCTTCTCAGTATTATTGTTGTAATACATACTGACCCTACAGGATTTCAAATAGTTTTCTTTCCCATATTTGTGTGTGTCATCTTTTTTTTTTTTTCTTAAGATTTATTTATTTATTTGAGAGGCAGAGGTATAGACAAAGAGAGGGAGAGACAGAGAGAAAGGTCTTTCATCTGCTGGTTCACTCCTCAAATGGCTGCAATGGCTAGGGATAGGCCAATCTGAAGCCAGGAACCAGGAGCTTCTTCCAGGTCTCGCATGTTGGTGCAGGGGCCAAGCATTATCTTCTACTGCTTTCCCAGGCCATCAGCAGGTAGCTGGATCAGAAATGGAGCAGCCGGGTCTCAAACTGGTGCCCATATGGGATGCTGGCACTGCAGGAAGAGGCACAGGACTGGCCAAATTTAGATGTTCCATTTGGATTCTTTGAAATCGGGTTTATGAATTTTCAGTTGAAATTTTTATTTTATTAAAAATTTTAAAAGAAATATGTTTATTTACTTGAAAGTCAGAAATACAGAGAGAGAGAGAGACAGAGAAAGTGAAATCTTTCATCCACTGGTTCACTCCCCAATTGACTGCAACGGCTTAAGCTGTGCCTATCTGAAGCCAGGAGCCAGGAGCTCCTCCAGGTCCCCCACATGGGTGCAGGGACCCAAGGACCTGGGCCATCCTCCACCACTTTCCGAGGCCACAGCAGGGAGCTGTATCGGAAGTGGAGCAGCAGGGACTTGAACTGGTGCCCAAATGGGATGCCGGCACTGCAGATGGCAGCCTCATCTGCTACGCCACGGTGCCGGCCCTGTGAGTGCCAGTGTGAATCCCGGCTGCTCTGCTTCTGACCCAGTTAGAACAGAGCTGGGACTTAAGCCCAGGAACTCTGGGATGGGATGTGGACACATCTCAGCCGTTGTGCCAATGCCGGCCTCAACTGGCATTTTAAAATGTTTATGATAATAATGGTATTAGTTAAAATATTCACCTAAAGATTAAATGTAATCCTTTTTATTCCAGGGTCTCCCACCCTGTTTAAAGATTTCAAGAAGACATCAAAAGCAGCTTACATTTTTCAGCCTTACTCCTCAATATTGCCATTATAAAATGATTCCACCATACATCCTTTTAGCTACAGGATTGTTACAACCTTCTGTGCCTTGGAGATAAATAGAATGATTCTTTCTGTTCACATTGTTTCAAGAACAAACTACCCAACAAAGAGTGCTCTTAAGAATCTAGAAATTTCCACAAATAGCAATACTATGAATTGTGTTACCTTTGACCATATTTCAGGTCACCTTAAAACTTAAAACAATAATAAATATATATAGATATGTATTTAAGGATTTATTTTATTTATCTGAAAGGCAGAGTGACAGAGGGAGAGAGAAAGAGACCATCCATCTGCTGGTTGACTTCCTAAATGGTCACCATGACTGGGGCTAGGCCAGGCTAAAGCCAGGAGCCAGAAAAGCCATCCAGGTCTCCAACATGGCTGGCGGGGGCCCAAATACGTGGGCGATCTTCCATTGCCTTCCCAGGCGCATTAGCAAAGAGCAGGATCAGAAGTGGAGCAGACAGGACTTGAACCGCACTCTGACATGCAATGCTGACATCAAAGGTGGTGGCTTAGCCTGTTAGCCCCAGCAATACATCCTTATGACTTTTCACAGTTTCTGTGAGTCGGGAATTCAAGAGCACTTACCTGTGTGTCTGGCTCAGTCTTCTGTGAGACTGCAATCCGCATGCCAGGGCTACGGTGGCTGTAAGCTTTGATGGGCGACGCAGACCATGCTTCCCACGTAGGATACTCAACATAGCCTGCACATTGGTGCTAGTGGGCCTCTCCACAGGGATGCTTGACTCTCCTCCTGAGACGGCAGCTGGCTTCCTATAGAGCAAACGGCCCAAGAGAGGTGAAGATGGAAATTGCCATGAATTTAGTCTGGGAACCATAGGCTATTTCTTCTGCGATTTTCCAGTGGCCACACAGGCCAGCCATGATTTGATGTCGGTGGACACTATATCGAAGATCTCAGCCTCAGGGAGTGAGAGTCACTGGAATTCATCTTTGGTTTTCCCTGTAGGGACTTTGTGTTTTCGGGATAAATAATTACATGGACTAATTTCTCAGACACAGAGGAAAACAAAAAATAGCATCTATGTTTATTTGTTTCTGAATCAAAACATTCTAAGATTTAATAGATAATTTATTAATATATGATTTATTCATCAGAACTTATAGGGTGTGTTACTGTTTTAACAATAAAAACTGCCTAAATTTTTAGTAGTTTAACACACAGAAAAATTTATTTCTTGCTCTCATTGCAGTTTTTTTAAACTTAACTTTTTTATTTTTAAAAAACAGTCTATTTATTTATTTGAAAGGCAGAGTAACGGAGAGGGGGGAGGGAGGGAAGGTGGGAGAGAGAGAGAGAGAGAAAGAAAGAATTTCTATCTACTGGTTCCTCAGATGTCCATAACACCCAGGCTTAGGTCAGGCGAAAGCCAAGAACCTGGAATTCCAGCCATGTCTTCCACATGGCTGTGGCAGGAACCCAAGTACTTGAGCCATCATTTGCTGTCTCCCAGGTGCATTAACAGGAAGAAGGATTGGGAGCAGAGGTTAGACTGGGTCCTGGGTACTCTGATATGGGATATAGGCATCCCGAGCACCTTCAGTGCCACAGCACCTGCCCTGTATATATATATTATTTAAGTTTATTTATTGTTATTTGAAAGAGAGAGAGAGACAGAGAGAGAGAGAGAGAGAGAGAGAGAGAGATCTTTCATCTGCTGGTTCACTGCCCAATTGCTACTTGGGACTGAGCCAGGCTGAGCCAGGCTGAAGCTAGGAGTTTGGAACTCCATCCAGGTCTCCCATGTGGGTGCAGGGGCCCAAGCAGTTGGACCATCTTGTGCTGCTCTTTCAGGAGCATTAGCAAGGAACTGGATCAGCATCGCAGACATCGGTTCAGCCCACCGCAACACAACACTGGCCCCAGCCCAGTCATTTTCTTGGCTCCTCCTTCCTGGGTTGACCTGGGGTTCAAGCACTCTCTTTCTGGAACATAGAAAAAGGGCTGGGAACTTATTAACTGTCCATAACAAGACTATCCATATATTTTTTAAAAAGTTTTATTTATTTATTTATTTGTTTATTTATTTATGTATGTATTTATTTATTTGAAAGGCAAAATGACAGGGAGAAAGAGAGAGAGAGAGATCTTCCAACCACTGGTTCATTCTCAAATGTCTTCTCCAAGCTAGGGCTGGGCCAAAGCAGGGAGCCTTGGTCTCCCACGTGGGTGGCAGGGGACAAAGTACTAGAGCCATCACCTGCTGCCTCCCAAGTGCACTAACAAGAAGCTGGCTTGAAGGAGAGGCAGGACTCGATTCCCGTTCCAGGCACTCTGATTTGGGAAGTGGGTATCTCAAGTGGCTGCCTAACCTGCTGAGCCACAATGTCTGCCCATCTATGTATTTTTAAACTGCTATGAAAGATACCATTTATTAATTGTTCTTAGCGATTTATACTAGAGAAACAGTCCTTTCAAAGATAGGAGATTGTTTCTCCATGATCTGTTTCCTTTTTTATTACATGAGAAATGCAGGTATTTCTATACCGCTTTTTAGTATTGCCATTTGTTTTGGAGGAAGCCCAGAGTAAATGTTTATATGACTTCTGCCTCAAACATATTCCTCTATACTCCACACCCCAATTATTTACCTCCTGTAATTTTATTTGTGTTTTGAAGCCTTTTGTTTATAACTAAGTATGGAATTAACCCAGATATCCATCAACTGATGACTGGATAAAGACATTACGGTATATATACACTGTGGAGAACTACTCAGCTGTCAAAAAGAAAAAGAGAGGAATACTTTCTTTTGCAAAAAAATGTGTGCAACTGGACACCATCATGCTTAGTGAAATAAGCCAGTCCTAAAAAGACAGCTATCATATGTTTTTCCTGATTTGGGGTAACTAATAGAGCACCTAAAATGTAATGTATAGGAGTGAAATGGACATTTTAAGATCCAGTGAGCATTTATAGCCTTTGTCTCTACTGTTGAGGAATGGTGTTTTCTTCTTCATACTATTTGTTGAACATTTTACTTAGTGTAGGGTTAATAATATGAGTACAAAGTTAACTGAAAGTAGATCTTTGTAAAGATAAAGAGTGAGAATAGGAGAGGGATGAGGAAGAATCGTTGGAGTGTGGGCGGGAGGGAGGGTAGGGTGGGAGGTATCACCATGTTCCTAATATGAACTACATGACACTTGTATGCCTTATAAAATTAAAAAAAAACCTTTTGATAATAATAATAAATGATTTTTAAAGAACTTTGGTTTCTTTTTTTAATTTGTAAAAATTTGAGAGGCAGAGAGACAGAGACAGAGAGAGACTGATAGGAGAGAGAGCGCTTCCATCTGCTGGTCCACTTCCCAGTCACCACAGTCCCTGGCCGGGGCCACAGCTGGGAGCTGGGAACTCAATCGCAGTCTCCCACATGGGCAACAGAAACCCAACCACTTGAGCCATTGTCACTGCCTCCAAGGATCTGCAGCAGCAGGAAGCAAGTGCAGTGAACCCAGGTTTCTTGATACAGATGCAGACATCCCAAACAGCATCCCAACTGCTAGGCTAAACACATGCCGCATGGATAAATAGATTTGTGATTTGCGAAAGTGGGATAGATGTCATAAAAATGTGATAAGCAATATACAACCTAGGCAGGGAATAAAGTTATAAAGCAATATAAAAAACCTAAAATGGATAACACATTAAAAATTCTATGCCTTTTCTGTCCCACACACCGCTCAGAGCCTTATCCCACCACCGTGAATCACTTGTCACTTATGGGGGTGACCTTGATCATTCTCTGAAGTCACTTTCGTGTAATCTGCCAGAGGCTTTCCAAGTATGACACGACACAGAGCATGTGCAGCCCCAATTCCGCGCTGGGAGAATGCAGAACAGCCAAAGAGCTGTGATCCAACCTGGAGGAGCCTCCATTTTACCGTCAGATTTGAAAAAAAGGGTCACTCACTAAGAACCATCTTCCCCTCCCCCAGAAACATGGAAGAGAAGATAAACAGGTGTGGGGGAAGGGGACCCATCTTCACCACTTCCCTGGGGGAAGCCTGAGGGGCCCTCTCCTCTCCATGTGGCCTCCAGCACTCCTTCCAGTTCACTTGTGCTTTGCACAGGTTAACTTAAGAGGGGCAGGGTGCTGCCAGGTACCCTAATTGACCTGAGCACCTCCCAGAGAACCCCCAGTACATGGTCCACCTCTGTCCTCTGCTGAACCCAGGCCTCAGACCGGGCGTGCCAGGCACATGGCAGCATGGACTTTCTGCCCATCTCCTACCTGCAGCCGTGTTTAAATCCACACCTTGTCGATCCTGAACACCATGCTGTCGGGGTCCATGTCTCTTGGGGGAGTCTTGTTCTTCATGGGCAATGCGGGGGGGGACACATTGGACATGGACACTCTCAGCTCTGCTGCAATGCACATCACTATGGACTAGGACCTCCCTGCTGGGCCAGAGATCTCAGACCCAATCACTCCTGTGCATGTGACACAGTGTACGCTTTGAGCCTCTCCCTCCCTCTCCTCTTCTCCACCCCATCCTCTGGGAACTGTCACACTACTCTCCACTTCCATGAGGTCAACCCATACAGGTGAGGTCGGACAGCAGGTGTCTTCCTGTGGCGATCCACATGCCAGTCCACTCCACTGAACCTTGCCAAGGTGCACACAGGGACCCAAACATCACCGGGGACTCAGTTCATACATGTGGTTATGATTTTTATTTATGGGAAGCATTTGCCAAGGCCTCAAGAAGATGAAAACCTTAAGGCAGCTCAGCTTGAAGGCCCCTCCTGTTGACTTGCTCCACGTTAGGCTGCAGGGGAGCCACTTTGCTGCAGCAGGTGGGGCCGTCCCTGGGGCTGGCAGCATGGAGCACACCTGCAGGAGGAACCTGATGATCCTCCTGCCAGCCCCCTGCAGGCCCTGGCTCTCTCCTGGGCAAAGGCTGAGGTCCCAGCCTCCTCAGGCTCACTTGCTGCCACAGCTTCCAACTCCATGTGGTCCCCACTGTTCCTTGCACTGGGGGGGGGGGGGAGCAGAGGGAGTGGCCACAGGGACTGGCTTGGTGAGGTGGGCAGGGTCTAGGGCCACTCTCCTCCTGCCGCTGGCCAAGTAGAGGAGAGTCAAGGGTGTAGGGGTCCACCAGGAGCCTTGGGCTCTGGCTCCTGGAGGTCCTGAGGTAGCATGGGTTGGGAGGTGGGAAGGGAGGACCCAGGGGTTGCACAAAGGAGACCTC